TATTTTTTAAGTTAATATTGATATATAATTTAATTATTGTTATAAATATAAAATATACATAATTATTTGTTTTTATATACAATACAGATGTCAAATAGAATCTCATCAAAACATGATTAATTTGATATATTACATATGAAAAAATGATAATAAATAAAAAAAAATTATTAGCTTTTAAATATATTTACAATTTATGCTAGTAATTTCTTTTTAATTATGAAAAATATTGGAGAAAAACATGTTACCTTATAAACCATGTCTAAAATAAAAAATAATATTAAAACATAATTAATTCTCTTAAAAATGTTCATAAATACCTAATATATATATACATATATATTTCAAGCCTAATTATTTTTGGACTAGAAATAAACAAAATTCCATCTAAGCCAAATGACAAAGCATGGAAATTTGTCACATAAGATTCCAAAACGTACGAGACTGCCACTTAAACTCAACACATTCTGAAATTTATATATAAGGGAATGATTATATCATGATTTAGTTTAGGGCCTATGATCCCCATTTTAAGGTGGACCATGATACACCATTTAATTTACAACATATATATTAGTGCTTACCAACATATAAACGTATTGTTATTAACATAAGAATGAGTAGAAATCTCAACAATCACAGTGGAATCCATTAGAAAGTTGGCTATGAACAAGAATCCATACAAAATCACAGTCAATGTAACTTCCAACTTAGTATCAAACAAAACCATGATGGAGAACAAGTGATGAATATCTAAACTTCAAACACTTGTATTATCTGGCAAGAGAATCATATTCGACCTAAGGTAACTCATCTTGCTTTGGCTGAGTAAAAGGAGGAGGAGGAAGAGAAGGTTCTGGAATGTAAGGGAATAGCGGTGTGCCGTGCTGAATGGGTCCCGGTCGAATCGAGCTTGTCAAACTCGGTATCTGATCAATCGCCCGATAATCCTCTAAACCAACTTTTCCATCCCCATTTTCGCCATTTGTATTCTTGTTGCCCTACAAGATTCAATTGTGTCATGTTGATTATCTCTTTAACATTTCTTCAAGAATCCACTACAAATAGTTTCATCATCACAATGACTAATAATAAGAAATGATGTCAATGAGCAAGCAAAAGGAGCAGAAAGGCCAATAGTCAGAATAATGTCAATAAGACGACATTAGAATTATCGCTCGCCTTCTACATATCAATCGGACTTGGGTAAGAGTTTCTTTTTTTATTTTTAATTTTTTCACCATTTTGGTTTCTGATGGGACGTTTATCTACCCTTAGCTGA